AGTCTCACGGTCTCTCCTGCCCGGGCTGGCTTTGAACCGCGATCCTCAGATCTCAGCCTCCTGAGTAGCTAGGATTACAGGCGTGAGCCACCAGCACCCGGCTTGCTTTAGCCTATTGAATGCTGGTCTTATTGTCCTGAGTGTATACTAGGTGCAATACTGTTCTTTCCCAGCTTGAGCCCTTTCACCATTCCTTCTTTTTTTTTTTTTTTAACTTCCTCCTCAGTCCTAGAGCTTGAACTCTGTGCTCTGTGCTGGAGCTTCTTTTTTGCTCACGGCTAGCACTCTACCACTGGATCCATAGTGCCATTTTTGGCTTTCTCTGAGTAGTTTATTGGAGGTAAGAGTCTCACAGACTTTCCTGCCTGGTCTGGCAGGATCCTCAGATCTCAGCCTCCTAAGTAGCTAGGATTACAGGTGTGAGCCACTGGTGCCCTGTCACCATTCCTTCTTCTAATAATAGAGAAGTTTCTTCTCTTGTTCCCATCATCGAGGTAAGACTTTAAAAAAAAATGTGTGTTTAGAGAAACATAAACTACTAGGGTTATAGGATTAAAAAATACCTTTTTTTTGTCAGAAGAAATATCTTTTGGTGGTAATTTCCCAACAGACAGCTTCCGATTATCTTTGGAGTTAATGAAGTAGAAGGATCATATGAATTTTTTAAAGCAGCAGCTAATCAAATAATACTCACCCACAATACATAGTTTAGATTGAACTAAAAAACATTGGTTCTCCTTGTTATTTAATTCTAGCTGACTATAACAATTTTGGGGAGAAATTGATCATAGTATAGGCAGAGATGATCTGGGATGCACTGGTTACTGTGTGACAATGAACTTGACGATGGAGTAGATCATCCCAGATAAATTATGTCAGTGTTCTAGATGAATCAAAAGCCACTCATGGGGCTGGGAAGGTGGCTCAGCAGTACAGTGCTTGCCTCGCATGCATGAGGCTGGAAGTGGAAATGTGGCTCAAGTGGTAGAGTGATACCCTTGAGCTGAAGAGCTCAGGGACAGCACTTAGGCCTAGAGTTCAAGCCCCATGATGGACCAAGAAACAAAAAAAGCCACTCACTTATGGAGTAAGGTTTCTTCACTTCTATAGATATACCAATAAATAGTTCACATTTTTGGGGGGGCGGGGGGAATCAGTTGTGGGCCACTTCCCACTTTTTCAGTTTATGTGATGCTAAGGAATCGAAACCAGGGCCTCATGCATGTGAGAAAAGCAATCTACCACTGAGCCACCTTCCCAGCCCCTCACATTTTATTTTCTAGACAACAAACAACTGGAGCCTGATAATAACTGAGCCACTCATTTAAATACTTGATAAATATTCTTTTTATTTATTTATTTTTAGTCAGTCCTGAGGCTTGAACTGAGGGCCTGAGCACTGTCCCTGAGCTCCTTTTGCTCAAGGCTAACACTCTATCACTTGAGCCACGGTACTATTTCAAGCTTTTTCCGTTGATGTGGTACTGAGGCAGGCTAGGCAAGCACTCTACTACTAAGCCACATCCCCAGTAAATATTTTTTAATTAACATATTCATTAATCTAAGGGCTGGTAGCTCAAGCCTGTAATCTTAGCTACTCAAGAGGCTGAGATCTGAGGATTGCAGTTCAGCCCAGGCAGGAAAATCCATGCAACTCTTTTTTTTTTTTTGTCGGTCGTGGGGCTTGAACTCTGGGCCTGGGCGCTGTCCCTCACTTCTTCAGCTCAAGGCGAGCGCTCTACCACTTGAGCTACAGCGCCACTTCCGGTTTTCTGGTGGTTTATTGGAGATAGGAGTCTCACTGTCTCTCCTGCCTGGGCTGGCTTTGAACCGCGATCCTCAGATCTCAGCCTCCTGAGTAGCTAGGATTATAGGCGTGAGCCACCAGCGCCCGGCTTCCAAGGCTTGAACTCTGGGCCTGGGCGCTGTCCCTCACTTCTTCAGCTCAAGGCGAGGGCTCTACCACTTGAGCTACAGCGCCACTTCCGGTTTTCTGGTGGTTTATTGGAGATAGGAGTCTCACTGTCTCTCCTGCCTGGGCTGGCTTTGAACCGCGATCCTCAAACCCAACCCCCTGAGTAGCTAGGATTACAGGCGTGAGACACCAGCGCCCGGCTTCCAAGCAACTCTTATCTCCAATTAACCATCAGAAAAGTGGAACTGGTGCTGTGGCTCAAAGTGGTAAAGGGCTAGCTTTGAGCAAAAGAGCTCGCTCAGGACAGTACCCAGAGCCTGAGGTCAAGCCCCTCGACCTACAAAAACAAAAAACCCAAAAAACATATACAGTATCATTTAATTTTATGTTACTACTGAGTCATTGCTGTATGTTCAGAGTTATGGCTAAAACTTGTAGGAGTATTTACCCTTGAAAAAATTTCAATATATTAAGATTTAAAACAGTACCTTCCATCTCTATAAGTGTTAGTTCCTAACACTTTACTTTGACCTTTATGGTAATCAACTCTAAAAGCTTTTGTATGACAAAAAAATAAAATAAGGGCTGGGAAGGTGGCTTAGTGGTAGAGTGCTTGCCTTGCATGCATGAGGCCCTGGGTTCAATTCCTCAGTACCACATAAACAGAAAAAGCCAGAAGTGGTGCTGTGGCTCAAGTGGTAGAGCTCTCGCCTTGAGTTGAAGAGCTGAGGGACAGTGCCCAGGCCCAGAGTTCAGGCCCCACGACTGACAAAATAAAAAAGTAATGATAATAAATAAAACCGGAAGTGGTGCTGTGGCTCAAAGTGGTAGAACACCAGCCTTGAGCAAAAGAGCTCAGAGATAGCACCTAAGCCCTGAGTTCTAGCTCCATGACAAAAAATTAAAAAAAATAAAAAGCTTTTACATACCAACTACAGCTCCTAACTCATTGGACAAATATTTTAAGTGTTAAACTTACAATAACTGACAGACTACGAACTAATGGCTAACTAGCAACTAAGGAGGCTGAGATCTAGGATCATGGTTGTAAACCAGCCTGGGCAGGAAAGTCCCTGAGACTCTTCTCTACAGTTAACCAGCAAAAAGCCAAAAGTGGAGGGCCTGACTTGAGCGGAAAAGCTCAGGGACGGCACCCAGGCCCTGAGTACTTCACAGGACAGATAGGGAAAAATAGGCATCAGGTTTAAGATTATACAGCGTTTGGAGCTCAAAACAATCCATGGCCATGATGTACTCCAGGAACGAAGGGAAAAACACCTATCTCAGGGCCCTCTAACTGCGGGAGAAAAACAACTCTCTCTTCTTTTTCTTTTTCCTCCCCCCCCCCCCCCCACCGAATGTAAATACTATGCATCCATGCACCGAACGAACAGGAAGGAAGTCACCCTACAAGTCCAGCCAGTCAGCGAGCCAGCCTCGTGCGCAGGCGCAATTTGAGTTCAACCACTCCGACTGGCGCGTGACAGTCGTGCAGGTCACCCTACCCCCATGATGCTCTTACTGCGCACGCGCGAGAAAGAACTCCACCCCCGTCCCACTTTTTCCATTCCTCCTTCCCGCCCCCCCTCCCGCCACGAGCACGTGCGCGTTCTTGCGGCTCTTATTTCCGCGGCGGGCGCGCGCGCCCTGGAAAATTCCACTTCGTAGTTCGCTCCACCCTTCAGGCGACCTCTCCAACCCAACACTCTTTACGCTCCGCCCCTATCCCAGTGGCCTTTGCGGGAGCAAAATGGCTGCCCCCGTGCATCGGGGGTTGTCTTGCTTATCCAGGGCTTTGGGATGGTGGTCTCGGCAGGTGGGTAGAGACAGAATGGATAAGACTTTAGGGACTTAAGGCGGAGGATGGAGTAAAGGGAAATACTCTATGTGCAGTTATCCTGGGGGTCAGACCTAGGCCGGGGGAAGTTTGAGATGGACGAGATCTTCCTACCTAGTAACCTCAGTGGCGGCTTGGGGTGGGCTTTGGTGGAGCCCAAGGCCTGGATTTACTGGAGAGGAAGTGTGAAAGGGGGAAGTTGTGGCTTGGAAGGTGAACCCACTGCTTGGTATTCTTATAAATACATAAACTGAACTGCAGCTGGGAAAGAAGGACCCCTGGTAGTCACTCTTCCTGCCTCGTGAGAAAAGGTTGCCTGGGCCTTTAGTTGGGGGTTAGCACGAGCAATCAAGTCTGTCGGGAAACTTCCCTTAGATTGAACGAAGTGTTCTTGTGGGAGACATGTTAGGAAAAGGACTTTGCTTATGCTTTAATAATTACATCAGTTCGTCTTGATATTGCATTGGTATTCAAGTTCCTCATCATGTTAAATTTTTTTGAAAATTGACACCTTGCTTTAAACAGCACACCTCATAGTACTATGGAATGTACTAAACTTTCCTTTGGAGCTTTTAAATTCATTCATGTAGAGTCCAATTTTCCCTTCCCCCACCTAGAATTGTTTATTACTGAAGTATTCTTTAGCTATACCCTTCCTATAAGGCTTAAGTTCAAGATAGTTTTTTTTTCTTTTTCTAAGTTACCTATATTTTAACCTTTCCTTCACTTTTCAGCCAGTGTTGGTGACTCAGTCCGCAGCTATAGTTCCAGTAAGAACCAAAGCACGTTTCACGCCCCCTACTTATGAACCCAAATACAGAACAGAAAAGGAATTTCTAGAACATGCCCGGAAAGCAGGATTGGTTATTCCTCCAGAAACTTTGGAACGTCCGATACATATTGCCTGTACAGGTAAAGTGTTAAGATTTCTGGGACCTTGACCCAATCCCCTATGATAGGAGATTTTTTTTTTTTTTTGTCGGTTCTGGGGCCTGAACTCTGGGCCCGGGCCCTGACCTCCAGCTCTTCTACCACTTGAGCCACAGTGCCACTTCTGGCTTTTTCTGCTTATGTGGTGCGGAGGAATCACACCCAGGGCCTCATGCATGGAGGCAAGCACAGTACCACTCAGCCACCTTCCCAATCCCCTATAGGAGATCTTGAGCTTGGACTAGTTTGAATTATGATTGATAACATTAAATTAGCTACTAAGTCAGTTCAACTACAGTAATTTATGTTTCATAAGGGCTTAAATTTTTTTGGGGGGGAGGGAGACAGAGTGCTCCTCTGTTGCTCAGGCTTGCCTCAAATTCACTATCCTCCTGCTTCAGTGTCCCAAATATTGATATTATAGGTGTAGGCTACCATGCCCAGGCATAAGACCATCTTTGATCTTGTTTTCATACTATTTGTTTTAAGTGAGAATGCAATCTCCCTATTTGGTAGAAATAGAAACAGGTTGAGAGAAGTGTTATTCTGTGTTTTTGTTTTTTTATTTAATACACTCACACACATATAATTTTTGTGTGTGTGTTGGTTGTGGGGGCTTGAACTTAGGGCCTGGGCACTGTCCCTGAACTCTTTTGCTGAAGGCTAGCACTCTACCACTTTGAGCCCCAGCTCCACTTTTGGTTTTCTGGTGGCTAATTGGAGATAAATCTCACATACTTTCCTGCCTAGCCGGGCTTTGAACTGTGATCCTCAGATTTCAGCCTCTTGAATAGTTAGGATTATAGGCGTGAGCCACCAGTGCCTGGCTAATTTTATTTTTAATATGAGATAGTTCCGTCTATGTGAAAGTCTGTTGTTATCTACTTTGAATCCAGAATCCTTGGAAGTTCTTTTTTTTTGGGGGGGGGGAGTGGTGGCTGTGACGATAGAAACTAGAGCCTTGAGCTTGCTAGGCAATGCTCTACTATTTGAGCTATGTTCCAGTCCTTTGGATGTTATTTTGTATTTGAGATAGAACCTTGCCTGGAATAGCCACGAATTTAGGGTCCTAACTCAAGATGACTTTTCAGTCTTACAGCACTTCATTGTCTCCTTTTTTTCTGTATAGCGGGCATCTTTGATGCCTATATTCCTCCTGAAGGTGATGCCCGGATATCTTCTCTTGCAAAGGAAGGACTGAAACAGAGAGCTGAGCGATTGAAGAAGAACGTGGCATCACGATTGTCGTATGTGTTTGAAACAAGTGGTTGATATTCTGTGTCAAGTGAGATGATTGTGTGGTATTTGATCTTTATTCTGTTAATATGGCATATTATACTAGTTGATTTTTTTTTTTTTTTGGTTGGTTGTGGGGCTTGAACTCTGGGCCTGGGCGCTGTCCCTTAGCTCTTCAGCTCAAGGCGAGCGCTCTACCACTTGAACCACAGCGCCACTTCCGGCTTTCTGGTGGTTTATTGGAGATAGGAGTCTCACAGTCTCTCCTGCCCAGGCTGGCCTTGAACCGCGATCCTCAGATCTCAGCCTCCTGAGTAGCTAGGATTACAGGCGTGAGCCACCAGCGCCCGGCTACTAGTTGATTTTTAAATGGTAAGCATACCTTACATTAAAATAAACTCCACTTGCTATTATTTCTCATCTTTTTTTTTTTTTTTTTTGAGTCGGTCATGGGAGCGCTGTCCCTGAGCTCTTCAGCTCAAGGCTTGCTAGCACTCTACCACTTGAGCCATAGTGTCACTTCTGGATTTTTCTGTGTATGTAGCACTGAGGAATCGAACGTGGGGCTTTATGTGTGATAGGCAAGCACTCTACCACTAGGCCACATCCCAGTCCGTTTTCATCCTTTTAATATACTTACATTGATATTTTAATTAAATAAGGATCCATTTATTGTATTACAACTTGAAGTATTGACAGTTGAATTATATAGTACATCATGATTACTTTCCCTTTCAAGCATAATATTTATCTGAAAGTTAAATGTCTTTTGTTTATTTGCCTACAGAACCCAATGTTAGTTTACTCTGGTTGCATACAAAACATTATTTTTATCCACTTCAGTATTTTTTGTTTGTTTGTTTTGTGCTAGGACTTGAACTCAGATCTCCTTTTTTTTTTTGGGTCCGGTCGTGGGGCCTGAACTCTGGGCCTGGGTGCTGTCCCTCAGCTCTTCAGCTCAAGGCTAGCGCTCTACCACTTGAGCCACAG